GTGACTATTCTACACCTGGAACCAACCCGGAACCCACCCGGAACCTACCCAGAATTTTTTTTTCATCTATTGTCTGGCCTTACAGCTGTTTTCATAAATTCTGGGACACCAGACAAAAAATTAACCGAACGATTTTTTCAGCCCAATTCAGTTAAGTTTATTGATTTCGGCATATTAGATTTAATAATAATTTAAGATTAGGTGGCTAATATAAAATCTGATAAAATTTATTTTATTTTTTTTTACAATTAAATATTTGAAATTTACGGACTTCAAGTTGTGCAATTGTTATTCGCCAGACAGTTTTAAATAATTAATTTGACCTGAAAAAGTTGCTTGACAATTTTGAATAGTTAATTTGACTATACCTTTCCAATTCACTGTAGTTTTAGCAATATTTTCACCAACCTTTTTAGGAGCCAAACCAAGTGAACCAATTTTTGAAGCTAAAGCACTGTAAGTAACAACTTCATCACCAGTAGCTCTAAGATAAAATTTCATTTGGATTGATCTTGGGCATCATATTGAGTACGTTTTGCTTCAATGAAAAACTTTTCTTTAATCCTTATAAAATTTTGGCCAAACAAGAATTTATTCTTATACTGTTTCATTATGGGATGCTTAAATAGAGAATGTTCACTTAATTGCTTATCGTACAAAAACATACATATAATATCCGATAATAGTCAATATGGAGTTGATTTGCCAAACAATAAATTGAAAAATTCAGAATGTTTCCAAAAGATTTTTTTTATAGAGAATATTATAAGACTACATATGCATATTTATTTTTAAAGCTTCTTCATTGGCAATTTAGAAGGCTAATATATTTATTATGAAGTTGAATATAGATTTTAAATGTGATTTAGCTGAAATTATGAAAACGTGATTCAAGCAACATGACTCAGGACCCAAAATTGATAAAGCAAAGGCATTTAATCCTAATTCAGTTTGGCTTGAGGTGATGTTTTATTGAGGATGATAGTAAGGCGTCGCTGATATCATATAGTGGAAACTAAAGTCATTGTCATGTAAATGAGTATGAATTGCTTTTTGTTAACTATAGATTCCCCCACCAATACTAATGATTTTAATCATAGTAGCAAAGCCCCAGTATTTATAATGTATAGAAGTTCCTTGATTTCATATAACTAATGAAGGCAGATAGATAATAGGAAAATTAGAATCATAATTAAATAAAGACCAAACCCAGAAATCTTAGTGGCAGTAGAATCCTTGGTTCTTGGACCAAATCTTCCATGATGGCACAATATATCTTTTAGACATAGTATTATTTTTACTGTCATATTATACACAAAACCTGATCTACAATTTTGATAATATAATGATCTATATAGATGTGTGAAAAATGTCTAAAAAAAAGTTATTCTGTTTATTTTATACAAATATTATACTTACCAATCCTTTTATATAGTTGTCCGAAGGCTGAGCTATAATACACTCGATGCTTATATTAACAAATTCTGAATTTTGTATTTGTAACATAGATCGTTTTCTTAATTTTTTATGTATTGAGTTTTACTTTATTAA